TTCATCTATTTTCACTTTTTAATATAAAGACATTTAAAATTCACAATCTGCACATCACTTATATATAGAGAGTCATTGAATTGTCACTGTTCAGAATATGTATATATGTCATAAATTTCAGTCGCATGTGAAATAAAATCATGTGTTCAAATGTCACCTACTGGACAAAAAAACACTACAATTTTTTTTCCGACCCAATATAAATACTTTAGGATTTTTATTCTTGTTTTGACTTGGGGAATAATTTTTCCTTTTTATTTTGAATTTTCATTTGGCTGGAGATGATTACTGAGCTGCCTTTCTTGAACATTGAGTAATATTGACATCTTTTGAATACTTTAAAATTCCAACTAAAAAATTACTTGCTTTACACATTATCTCATCTGTGCACAGTACCTGTCAGATCACTTCTACTCTTAACAAGTTAATAATTATCCCAAACTGCCCTAGTTTACACTGCAAAAAAGCATCAAAATTTTCAAGGCTATTATGATAAAATTAGTATGTAAACAATGTTTTATATATTCTTTTTCTAAAAATGCAATTCTTTTTCATATGTGATGATTAGTTCTGGTTACATGTCTCTATTTCAGCATTGGGTACTTTTTCTGCATTTGCAAAACTGGCAGTTTCATGGTGGTGTTTTTCAAACTTGTTGCACTCAAAATGGTCTCCCTACGCATATAAAAATAAACCCATCTTAAAGATAAAAACTAAAAAGTCACTCGTTAATTTGGTGGCCTTAAGATAAGGTTTAAAGTTGCCTTTACAAAGAATTTCTGAGAACTGTAGTGTATGAAATACTAGAGAAATTCAACTCTTAAAAAATGAAAATTGCACCTTGTAAAAGCAATATCTGTATTTAATAAGCTGTTTCATGTCTCTGCATCTATATAACTCAAGACATGGTGCACACATATCAAAAAGAGGGTATATTGTGTTCAATTCATTCAAAACTATTGGGTCCCATTTTAAATCAGACTTATTTCACTGATGGATAATTACACAGTTTAAATCTTTTTTGTATATTTTCTTTAATGATGCATTTTAAAACTGTAAAGTACATAATTCATTGTATTTTGTCAAAACTGCCATGCTCAAATCTTCTTTTGGGTCGGCTATTGTTTTATGCATTTTATTGAAAAAAAAACTTCAAATGAAAAAAAGTAAAAGTCTAGAATCAGGACAAAATTCACATGTGCAAAAGTCGTGGCCAAGTGCTTTAACAATGGCTCTTTGGAGAAATTGAAAGAAATTCTGAAGAATTAGATTACTTTGTAGAATTTCTTCTTGAAAGATCGAGAAGTTGTCATCCAAAGGTGTATTGAACAAGATTCTACGATTTGTATCTTAAGGCAATTATCTGTATATTAAAATGAACAAGAAACTCTAAATTTGAATTCACAAATTATGACTTTTACCAAAATAAACAAAACTGGATACATTTTTTTTTAGTTCTTTAAATTTTGTACTCTCATGTTTGTCTATGAAAAAAAAAAAATTAAAATATAATTTTTTAAACAAGTGTCCAGTTTTCCTTCTCATTGGTCATACATTTTATTTCTATAAAAAAATGGATGTTTTAGCTTAACTTTAGCACATTGGTGCATAAAAAAAATTGAAATGTAGATGGGTATTTTTCAAAATGTAATCAGTTTACTTTATTTTTTGATTATTTATTTACAAATCCTAGGTATTAGGTCCTATTTCTCAGGTTAAAATGAAATTGTTACACTTTTCTTCAACTTTTGCAAATGAGTTGTCTTTTTGTAATTTTTATTTCTTTAAGCCATTTATGGAAGATAACAAGCATGACAGCATTTTTTAAGTGGGTATTTGTTCATTTTTTGTTCTTTTTTTTATGTATTAGTGCTTTTGATACCAAAGATCCAGTGTTTAAATTTACATTTAATCTTCTGTTCTCGATGATTCTGAATATTCAAATAATTTGTAGCATTTGTGAAGAAGAAGAACCACTTCAAATAACCGTCAGTTACAAGTGTCAAGTATACTATTACAAGTTGCAGAATTACTCTAACTTTTATATTGACCAAATCATTGATATTACATCTCTGCCCAGTGCTGTAATCAAAATTTTAGTTCCAACCAAAAACAGAAATTATTACTTTTGGTGGCCTTTGTTGGATGATATTGCACGAGTGGCATCAAAATTTATTTTTAGATGGGATTTTGGTGTAATACCACTTTCAAAAGATGATAGGATATGCAGTGTCCTGGGAATATTGGCTATAACAGAAGCTTATAAACAAATTCAAACTGTAAATCATTATTAGAAGAGGAAATGCAGGAGGACCATTCCAACTATCCATAATGTCTTTTTCATCAGTTACAATAAATATATCTTTTTACACTTCAGTCTTCTTTTTCTTAGTTTGAAATAAATGAATTTAAAGCTTTACAATAAACATTTGTTTGGAGGATTGACCAATGATTCATTTCATGAAACAAATTTCTTTTTTAGTGATTATTGTCCTTTTTTGACTAAGTCAAAAATTGCATTCCTCCAAATTTTCAGAATTAGATATATCTATGGTGAAAGGTGTTCATATTACAGAAAAAAAGAGCTGTTTTGTTGAATTCTTCACCCAAATATTAGTAAAGTTTCAGGCATGTATCTCCAATGGATACTTTTTCTTTTGGTAAGTACAGGATGGCATAATTTTGACCTGTTTTTTGCCCCACTGTCAAACTGTGCATCTGGCTGTTTTTACATGGTGTAAATGTGAGTTTTTTTGTTATTGAACTACTGAAAAAAATTATCTTTATCTCTGTGCTAGGAATCATAGAATGTTGCAAGACATTAACTGTTGAAATTAAACTTTTATGAGCAGTCAAAATTGCCCTTCTATATCATTTTTTAACCATTTTGTTTTTGAGAACAGAATTCTCACAATGTTTAGGCTAGTCTGAATTAATAATTATTGATTCCATTAGTATTATCTTTCTTTTACTTCAAAACTACATATGACATTACATTTATAATGACTTTTAAATTGTCTCAAACCTGCATATTCAGTTAAACACTGTTAAAATTGGCCTCTGGTCCAATAGTACACAAGAGGGAAAATTTTCAAAGTTCTGACCAAATTTTGAATGGTCATAACTTTGTTGCTAATTGAGCTTCCAAGCTAAAATAGTACCATTTTTTGTTTTGTCAAGCTCTCTGTTTGCATTAAAAGGTATTAAATATATTAAAAAAAAAAATTTAGTTTCGGATACATAATCTAAAGAAATTTTATCTTGTTTTTTATAGGTAATTTTCACACAGAGAAGTATAAATTACTTCAGCTGTCAACCTAGTTCCAAATTCAGTCATTACTTCATATTTTTCTGAACTTTTAATATATGAATTTATTTATATTTCCTTATTTGGGCATAACTTTTTTGGCTGACAGCTCCACTTAGTTTATTTTACCTAAATTTTGAACATTTAAATCTACCATTTGTCCAACCTTTGATTTATATAAAGACTATTTTACTGTTTTATTTTTCATCCTAGTTCTTATTATTTAAAATTAACTTAGGTAAATTTTAATCTCTAACTTTTATAAACATCAGGCTTTATCTTTGTATAGCATTTATTCAGGATAAGGGTTAGCTTAAAAATTTAGTGAAAATAATTTCCTACTGTTGTCAGATCTTAGCCTATATTGATTGTGCTACACTTTTTATGATTGCATTTTTCTCTTGGTGTTGCATGAAAGACTATATTCTTCACAAGTTCATAATTTAGTAATTAGTACTCTAAAATCCAAGTAAACATTTTAAGTATGCAAAACTAAAGCCTAGATTTCCTGAAAATAACTGTAAATTAATGCTTTATTGCATGAATCAACTCTTCATAAATTTTATTTCAATTGTGAAATTTTTATGACATTAGGAACTTGAATATAGACAAGACATTTTCTTTTCAAATTTATTGATCAACATATTTACTATTTTGTTTCTCTGCTTTCAGGCATTTTTTGGGGCAACTTCATAATTCCATCTTCACAGAACATTTTATCTTTCTCAGCAAAGAACTACTGAAGATTCGTTTTGCAGTTTTTCCAATGAAATTAAAAAATAGAGTATTCTGCAAAGATTAAATACAAAAGATTTAGTTCAATTCACTTTCCCCACAATCTTTCTTTCCATATTGTTAAGTATTCACTCTTCATTATTCATCAGAATGTGTCTTAAAAATTAGTACATTTTTCATTACATTCAAGTAGCAAATCCTACATGGGAATACAAATCCTCTACATTTTATTTTTATTTTCACTTGTGTGGTTTCCATACATCAATGTCACTAATAATGAAAATGTCACTCATGGTGAAAATGATTTTTCAACTTGATTTGAATATTTTAACTATATTGGCTATCTCTTTCATTTTGTAACATTGATTTTTCTCAAATAATGTTTTGATTGGATTGCTATTATTCTCAACTGTGAAGCAATGTTCAGTAAGAAACCTTCAGTACAAAACTTAAAATGCTTGTTTTGTTCAATAATTCAACAATACCTTGTGCATAAACTACACAACTCTTTTTTTTTGGATTTGCTTTACATGTTTATTTTAATAATGAAAATTTACTGAAAATGTTGCTTATCTTTTTTCAGTTTTAATGTTAAAATTAGTAAATAAAAATACACCAAACTGATATGACAGATGTCAATACAATCAAGTATTTTTCTTTTTTTATCATGTTAAAAATAACCTAATGACAAAAATAAGATAGATTTTAGAATCAACCTAATAATACATATTTGAAATAACAGTTGATCTTTAAATAGTGCTCTGATAGTTTCAATATTAGTATTTCTTACAAATGTGTAAATGTGCACACATTAAAATTTGATTGGTATTTTTAACAAATCCATATTCCTAAAAATAATGTACAACTTTATAATTAATACCTGAAGGTAAGTTTTAATAAAACATATTTATACTATCATTGCATAGTGATTTGTTTTGTAATTTTTTTCTCTTTTTAGTCTTCAATGTAGGTGAATACAGAAGAGCTGCAACAGATAAATATAAGAGCCATGATTTTTTTCGCCCAGACAATAAAGAAGCTCTTGAAATAAGACAGTAAGTAAAATTGATATCTTATTCTTTCTTTTTAGTACTTATTTTTCAGCATCAAATTTCTATAAGTATTTATAAGTTTCATAGATCAATGACATCTCTCTTTGGTATATTTGTTGCACATACATGTTGGACCAAAGATTAAATAAGCTAGCTACAAAATCTATGTGAACAGAATATTTTAAGTCATTTATATGTAGGTACCTTTACAGAAATGCAATATCTAAGGTTTAAAATTAATTTTAAAAAATGAAAAAAACATTCTTTTAGTTTTAATTTCAACTTAATAGATTAAATTTAGTATTTCCAATAAGCAAAATATTTTGCTCTATTTCAAAACTAATTTAAATTCATTGGAACAAGTTTTTGTTTTGAAATCACTAAGCATCACTGATTTTAGTGCCATTTTTTTCTTTTGTCATTGCAATATAATTCTTTTTATTAAATCTTTCAAAAATAAAATATAATTTTCTGAAACTTTATTTGAGGAATATTACTCTTGTATTGTTGATCAAAATTTGATAGAAATTGGAAGAGGTTCTAAGGATTTGTGCTATGTTTACTTGTGATGCTTTGCTTAGAGAGATACTCAGTCGATTTTCTTGAGAAGAATGTTGTATGATTAATATATGTTGATATGTTTTATTAATGCTTTTGAACTGTTAGGTCATTTTTAGCTACATGATGATGCTAAAATTTATTTCATGGTCATAGCATATGAATATATGATCATTTCAAAGTTATGACGAGACCATTAACAACTGTAAATACTACACTGGATATTTCTCGATTATTGGAATTTTATGTTTGAAAACTACTATGATAGTACTCAGAGCATAATACAAAAATTTCAGTGGGTTCCTTTACAGCTTTTTCCACTTGACATCAAACAATTTGACACAAGGAGAAAATCACTAAATGGCCTAACACACATTCTCAGGCCATTTTATTTAATTTGTTTAAATGAAGTATTGCTGTCTTAAATATACTATGTTTAAATTATATACCCATCCTATGTCTGCATCATGTACTCATCATATCTGCTCATCTTACCTCTGTCATTGTTTATATCTATTGTATATAGGTTAAACTTTTGCTGATAATCTCATTTTAGTCTCTAAGATAAATATTTTAATAGCTTTGCTTTCTAAAATAGATACTTGCTCACTGGATAACATAACTGCATGCATGCAACTCCTTTAAAGCTTATATTTTGGCATTTAATAAAATTGTTAGGAAATACTTTAAAATAATTTTGTCACATACTGTGAATAAGATGCAAATTAAATGCTATTCAGTTTTACTAACTATAGGTTGATTAGATTTTAAAAAAATCTGTTTAATTACTGGATCATTGCAAACATTAAGGACTGCCTGAAATAATTGCTTCCTCCACTTCATAAATGGCTATAATTTATTTCATTCTTTCTTTGCTTTAATCTAATTTGGCATTGCCATGGCTGATATTGCCATTTGTTTTTGTTTTGCTTGTTTTCTGCTTTTAATGGCTGACTGTGCTTCTTACAGAAAATGTGCTCTGCTTGCCATTGAAGATGCTCAAGCCTTCTTAAAAAATGGTGGAGAGGTTGCGGTAAGTATTAGATTTCACTTATTAGTCGTACTTTGTTGCTTAACATTTTACAATACTATTTAATAAGCAAATATTAAAACTTGACAATCCATATTGCTAGAGAACAAAAACAATTACTTTGATAATGATCCCTTTGTATTTTATAGTAAGAAAAATCTAAATTCTAGTTTTTATTGATTGGGCAATTATTTTATTATGAAACTTTACAGCTATCATGAAAAATAATTATTCAAAATTTTTAATCACATATTAAATTATTATTACATTTTGAATTTATTACCTGTAAAAACTAATTCTTAAAATGTATAATTCATAATAGTCCAAAATACATTTGAAATGTATACTCTGGATGATTCATTGATCAAATTTGTAATATTGATTCTAGTATTGACCTCTTTACATTAATCTTATTAATTAGCAATTCATTTCCACTTTGGTATTTGTTTTTTAAAGAATCCATTGGACTAATTTATTCCAAATGGACTTGAATATTTATTATTATTATTAAATGTATCAAAAGTTACTAAAACTGGCTGGAGACCATGTGACTTTCTGATTGAGGATAGACATGTTTTATATGTTCTTACAAAGTAATTCTTATTGGGATAACTTACAATTAAAATGTTTTTGCATGGCTGTCTTCAGATGATAGAAAGAAATAATGGGCTTATCACTATTTGGAAGTGGTCTCTGTTTTTCTACTATACTCAGTCCATTATATTTCATCAGCTAGCTTTTTTTTTTATTTTGAACATCTTTTAATATAAATAATTTTTTAAATAATTGTTAAATTATGAAGATTATAAATATGCTACAATCAATTCTTATTTTTTTTAAAATGGCTGCATTTCAGTGATCTCTATTTTTGTTTATGTTTATAACAGTATTCCTTTAATTCTGCTTGACTTTTACAATTTAAAGACACAGAATCACTTAGATGGGTTGTATCTTGTGTCTTTTTTAGTGCCTACTTGATGAATTTAAAATTTTTTTTTTATTTTCTTTTATTTCAGGTTGTAGATGCTACAAATACTACCAGAGACAGGCGCAAACTACTTGTGGATATTTTTACAGTTCAAAATAATTTTAAATTATTTTTTGTTGAATCTATTTGTGATGATCCTTCAATTATTGAAGCCAATATTTTGGTATGTTGAAATTTTCTTTTCATTTATATTTCAAATTTGCTGACTAGTCATCTATGTCTTTACAGATCAAACTATATTAACAGCTATGAGTAAAAATTTCTTAATGACTTTGTTTGGTTTTCTTCTTTTTTCCTTAAAGAAAAAAATGACAAAACCTTGTTTGAATTAGATTTAAATAAGATTGAAAATAATTAGAATATTAGAATGTCTCCATGAATATCACAAAGATATCACAGGTATTATAAAGTAGAAATCCATTGTCTTGATTTCTATCTTAGTGTATCAGGTCATCCCATAAGTTCTGTCCGAATTTAGAGTTTTTGTTAAAATGAACGAAATTTAAAGAGTATTTTATAATGTCTAATGGAGCTGAACATTATTTTTATGTTTAGATGCATTTAAACTGATCAAATTTTATTTCAGAGAACAATAAAATTAAATTTTGTTTGATTAAATTTTGTTCCCTGCTAACATGGAAGTACCCAAGAATCATTTGAGGCACATAATGCTTTATGAGTTCAAGAAAGGAAACTCAGCAGCCGAAGCGACTAGAAACATTCACTCAGTTTATGGAGAGGAATGTGTGAATGAAAGAACTTGCAGAAGATGGTTTGCAAAATTCAGAGGTGGAAATTTCACCCTTGAAGATGAAGATCGAACCGGACGTCCATTTGAGTTTGATGAAAAGCTTCTTGAAGCAACTTTTGAAGAAAATCCTGCTTTATCAGTTGAGGAATTGGCAGTGGTTCTCAGTTCAAACCATACAACTGTTCCTCGTCATCTTCAACAACTTGGAAAAGTTCCACCTCATGAATTGTCTGAAAGCAACCTCAAATCCCGAGTTAACATCTGCTCTTCTCTCCATTCTCGCCAACTTGTTTCACTTTTCTGGATAGATTTGTGACTGGCGACGAAAAATGGATCTTTTATCGAAATGTTAAGCGTTGTAGACAGTGGCTTGGTAAAGGGGAAGGACACCAGCCACAGCCGAGAAGGGAACTTCATGGGCAAAAGGTTCTTCTTTCAATCTGGTGGAATCGCCAAGGAATAATCCACTTTGTATTCTTACCACCTAATGCAACAATTAATGCTCAAATATACTGTCAGCAATTAGAGCGTTTGAGGAAAAAAAGACCTGCTCTAGTGAATCGAAAAGAGGTGATGTTTCATCAGGACAATGCGCGACCACAGAGCAAGAATCATGTCACAAAAGATCGAAGAACTTGGTTGGGAGAAAATTCTTCATTCACCTTATTCTCTCGATCTTGCTCCTTCAGACTACCATTTGTTTCGTAGCTTACAGAATCATTTGGAAGAAACAGCTTTTGTAACACAGGAAGAGGTTAAAACTGACATTTGTGAGTTCTTCGAATCAAAGCCAAAAGAATTTTACAGTAATGGAATTAGTAAGCTTGTTAATAGATGGAAGGAAGTCATAGATAATCAGGGAAAATACATTGTTGATTGAATCTGTAATTAAATGTAACATTTGGTCACTTGTTTTCTTTATTCAAAATTTGGACAGAACTTATGGGATGACCTGATACATGTATTTTTTGCCAATTATGGTGTTTTACATGAGAATTTTTTTAGGCACATTCAGTTACATATCAATATTGATATTGTTTTGCTTGGCCTTTTTGTATACATTCTAGATTTCAGAATGTAAAACTTGTTCAGTTAATATTGTCAAATGAGTAAAAAAAATTATTTTGCTACATACATATATTAGATAGCACATTACATCCTGTAATAGCTTGCCTGTCCCCTACCCATAAATTTTTGTTTTAGTGGACAGTGTAAATCTTAAACCTCCTTTTTAACTACTGGCAATCCTCATTCTAAGGTGTTGAAGTTGTATATATGTTTCTAGAAAAAAAGATAGAGGAGGTAATAATAGTGTATAGAACTATCTGTAAATAAGCATAATTCTCTTTCATGGGATTTAATTTGTTTGTTTCAGATTAAGTCAAATGACCTCATTCAATCCACTTTAGATGGTTAATACTTTAAAAACTTTCATTCTTGATAATCAGGTCAATGAAACTTAGTGTTTCAAGAAGTGATGAGAAAACCAAAGCTGGATTTTTATATATAATTTTTTTTTAATTTTTATTGTAAAATTGCATCACAAATATTACCTGAGATCTTGGACTTCTCTTCTGATGATTTACAAAATGCATTTATATTCAACAATTTCAGTTTTCATTCAAGATATATTTAAAAACAAAAAAAAATACTTCTTTCCTAAGATGAATAAATCATTATTTTGTCTTTGTAGGAGGTTAAAGTATGCAGCCCTGATTACATTGGCATGGACAAAAATGAAGCTATACAAGATTTTATGAAGAGAGTCGAGCATTATGCTCGAAACTATGAAAAGTTAGATTATAACCATGACCGTAATATGTCCTTTATCCAGATCTTCAATCAAGGAGAAAGATTTCTGGTTAACAAATTAGCAGGTAAGACAAGTAGTAGATTCTGCATTTATCTTGTAATTCATCTTGTTATATTGAATTATCCAAAAGTCAGATTTTGACAAATAAGTTAATAATATTTAACAAAGAACGATTTCCTCAACTGTTGATAGCTTAAACACAGTTGGCCCACAAAAAAGGCACTTTTCCTCAATTATAGTAAATTCCAGCATTCAGTGCCCATGAACTGAAAGCAAAAATTATTTAAGTTTTTAAAAAAGTCCTTGTCTATCACTTTCAACTAAAATTACATTAAAAAGATATTTTCTAGTTTCTCAGCATTGATTTTAATATTTTTTTTTTTATTATTATTGTGGGTGGTAACAGATATTGAATGACAGAAGACAACAAAAACAAAAAAAAGACTTGAGTAAAAGATATTGCCAAGTTTATTTTTGTTAAAGAAAATGCATAAACAAAAATAATGTTACAGTGCACAAGGCAAAAAATAACTCTGCAAGGTCATGTAGATAGTGAGAATAGCATTGTCCTAAGAAGGACAGTTTTGGTAGTAGCTGGAGAGAGTTGTCCTGAAAAGGACAGTTTTGTGGTTGTTGGAGAGCATTGTCCTGAAAAAGGACAATTTTGTGGTTGCTGCTGGAGGCCTATTGGAGATGGCTGGTGTTCTGAATAATCAAGAGTGGTCTCTCCTTGTTTTATTATTCTCCTCTTTTGAGAGAGTTATTTCTGTTTACCGGGGCTATAAAAGGACACTATACATGAACTGTGTATTCTCAGTTGAATAAAGCTTTCTTAAAGCCTACACCTGCATACTTTTGTTATTACAGCTGGAACCATGGGCTGTCAGCTGCTACTGTTGGAACAGATACTACACTTTGATCCTCGTCATCTTTACCACAAAATACTTTGGTATTTACTCATGCCTCCCCACTGTCACGGGATGCCACACAAGGTCAGGCTTAATGTGGGGAATCTGAGCACATACACTCAGGCCAAGTACAAAAATTGCTCAAGCGCCTGCAACCATCAGTTACACTAGGGCTAGTTGGTGACCACTGATCCCTCTGTTTACTGAAATGAAAAGGTGCAGCCTTGGGTAACTGTTCTCCAGTTATAATACCTCAAAGTATTATTTTCCTAAGCTGCAATTCTGTCCACTGACAGAGGCCACAACTAAGTCACGTTGTACCTGAAGACAGAGATGCAACTGAGAGATGATGTGCAACCACTCCAGCAGGGCAATGGGATCCTTTTTTGTTTTTTTTTTTGTTGTTGCTTTTGAGGCCTCTTTAAATCCTGAATCAGTCTTACAACAACACTGATTAAGTTTTTTTCTTCTTGTTTTTAAAAAATGTGGGAATGCCGACAGGATACAACACTATCTCCAATATATTTAAGTTTTGAAAACTAAGGATATTCTTTGGTATGAAAAATGACAATTGTTACTCCAGTGTAATTTGAATTTCAACAAGATTAATCTTTTTTTATAGATTAAGTCAGTGTATTCAATTTGTGAAATAAAACTTTTTAGCTCTAATTTTATCCTGATAATTTTCAAGGATTACAAACAGAAAGCACAAAACAAATTCTGTCCTTTTTTTTCTTGTCAATGCTGAAAAAGCTTTGAAAATGTCTTTACCAATTATCTTTAAGTAAAATTTGAATTTTTAAGAAAGAAAAAAAAAGCATTATTAATATCTATTTAAAAAAAGCTCACTCTGAAAAAATTTTTCTAACTTTTAACAGGCGAGGTAAATACAAGGTAAAACTTGCTCTAATAAGATTTTTATGATTAAACTTGTGTTAATTGGCTTTTGTTGGCATTTTTTTTTCTTTCTAATCTGCCCACTGCTGTAGTCTACTATGCACCTAAAATTAGTCCTGCAGAAGAAACAACTGTAAACTACTGTAGGTATACTTCCATCACACTTGTCAGAGATGTAATATTTTGTATTTATGTATTTCCATATAAAACATTTTGTATTCAAGTATTTTTGACTGAATAAGGATGTCATTTCAGTTTATTTTGTAATGTTTTCAGTACCTATCTGGTTGAGATGAACAATATATAAATTGTCATTTTATTTTATCCAACAATTTTTAAATTTAGAATCAGTAATTTAACCTCTGTTCCAACATGTATGATTTGATTATGTTGAGTGAGGCTGAATGAATGTAACTCAGTTGGATGTGACCAATGGCTATAAGATTTGTGATTAATGACATATATCTTTATATTATTTCCATAGATTTATCTCACTACTTTTCTTCTTTTTTGACAGGGCATCTACAGAGTCGTGTTGTTTATTATTTGATGAATATTCATGTTCTTCCCAGGACAATATACCTCACACGGGTTTGTATTAAGAATTTTTTAGATTTTGTTAATTTTAGGAGATTGTAAAAAATACATACATTCATTAACTGTGTATTTCTTAGTACAAAAGAAAATATTTGGAGTAACATAAAATTTAATTGACATGTTAGTATTTTTTGAGCAGGGCAATGTTTTTTTAATAGTTACTCTGGAAATTTTGGTAATGGAGGAACAATGGTGAAAATGTATTTGAAGATTATTTGGGTAATGAAGTTATTTGTTATAAAATTATTAAAATAATACAATTAGATTGGAATGTGATTTATTTACTATCTTTCAGTCACCAATTAGTTCTCTTTTTTGTTTGTTCATTTTGAAAAAATTCAAAAGAAAAGTTTTATAAGATATTTACATGTATATCATAAAAAAAGAATTCTGCTATTAGCCAAGTATTTTTTTTTAACTTGTTCATACTGATTAATACTAATCCTTTACTTGATGTAGTTAGATTAAAGTGAATGGAAAAACATGACATTTGGGTTTATCATTAGTTAAGCAATGATGTACAAATGAAAATGAAAGCTTACATCTTATGAGAGGTAAAAATGAAATATCTATAATTTCTTTTTAATTTTTATTTGTATACATTTTAATAGCATGGAGAAAGTATAATGAATTTACAAGGTAGAATTGGAGGAGACAGTGACCTTTCAGAACGAGGATGGCAGGTGAGTATTTACAGGTTCTTAAATAAATAAATAAATAAATATCTGTCTTTTACCAACATCAATGGCTTCATTTTTAAGTCAAGAGACGGAAATAATAACTTTCAGAGATTTAAAGCTTCTGTTACGATTTACTATCAAACTCAATCAAGCATCTTTTCATTATAAAGAATGTATTATAAATGTATGTATTAAATATTTTATTATGATTTGCATCTCTCCTTTTTTATTGCTTTACATTTTAAAGTATTAATACCAAAGTCTATTCCACCTATTTAGAGTAATTATTGAATCTCTAAATATTATTAACAAACATTTTTTTCATTTTTATAATTAATGAACCCTAAATGAAGGCATTATTTACCCAAAAGTGGTGGTAATGATTTTGGTAATTGAAAATTAAGCTTAACTTTAAGAATAACATCTGTCTCAATTTATAGCAGTTTTTTTTTTTCAATTTTGTACATTAAAATTGTTATAATGCCTGAATGACTGTTAACGCATGAACAACTTGTAAAAATTTTAATGTTTTTTTTAAATTAATATTAGACATTATATCATAAATTGTTAGAATAATTACTGTTAATTGAAAAATATCAATTTTCAAAAAAATTACCAGTTTAATTAATTTGTCTATACTTCCAGCTAATTGTTAACTAATGTGGCAAAGTGGTGCTGAAGGTTAAGTAAAGTAACTTAATGTTATGGAAAGGACAATATCAAAACTGAACTCCTTGTCAACCTACAGAATAAATACTAAGAAAATTATTAAATATGATACATACTCCAATTGCAACTAAAAAGATCAAATATTTAAAGGAGAACATATGAAAAAAGAATCAATTCAACAATAACATTTATTTAAACTTAAAAGATATAATATCCATAAACAAGCAATGACTTAAGCAAGAGGATGACACAAGATAGTAAATCAAGCATTTGGCAAAACTTCTCTTTGACAATAATGTACATATTTAAAAATGTAAATATTGAAATAATCAACTAATTTCAGTAAAATTTCTTATGAGAAAGAATAAAGTTTCAAATTTTTTTGTTTTACAAAATTCAAAATTATTAATGCATATGACTAATACAATTTTCATTTGTTGGATAACAATTTTTAAAATGAAATGTGTACAGTGAATGTAGGGATATATTAGAAAGAATTCAAAACTATTTACCTGCAATGGAAGACCATACAGCAACCCCTCAGCAGTGGCAATGAGATTTTACTGATGCCAGAAGCAGATTAAAAAAGTGAAATTTAGTACACTTGGGTTTAAATACTAGCTTTTGGTGTGAGGTAAAGCCAATAGCAATACCATTTATAAAACAAATGTGTGTATATGTATGTATATATGTATATTAAAATTATTCACACTGATGAAATTATTCCTGTTTGACCACAAGCAAAACAGTAAACTTATCAAGACACTTTACCAACAATTTGCAGATTATCTTAGATATGATGAATACTGAGTAAGTTTACAATAATCACAGTTATTGAAATATATAGGTTAACCATTCATTTGCTGTAAGTTTGAATTAGCATTCAGAAGAGCTAACTACTGCTACTGATATTTCTCTATTCACTTTGAAATGCATTTAAAAAAAATCATACATTACTTTCAATAATCTTGAACAATTGCCTTAAAAGCTTATCAATGATAAAAATGTTACCATTTTCAATTTACATAACAACTTACCCTCCTTATTCATAAATATTGTCATAAAAGAACTTTTTTACTAAAATGAAAAGAATTTTTAAAGTATTTTTAAGAGCACAATCAAGAATTTATATCATTTTTCTATAACTTCTCTTTTTGAACATCCAATATTTTTGAGGCTGTTGTTAATGAGACAAGCAATATGAACATCAAATAAAATTTATTCAAAAAGTGATTCATATGGAAAATTTATAAAAAATCAGCTGTTAATCTTGATTTTTTTGTATATATAAAAATATGAAATGTTACTTCCTAAGTAGGTTGAAAAAGGTAAAGTCAGTATGTAGGATTTTGTAGTACAAACACTTTACTAAGTATCCTATTTTTATGATTAAAAATATTGTTTACCTTCAAATAAATGACAGATTTCTCCAAAATTTATAACTATACAATATTGTATTTAAGTTTGAATTTTTTTTACCATCAGGATCATCTCCAAACATGAAATGGAAAATAGTACTTCTCATTATCTGTTCTATTACTATTTCATCAAAATTAAATGTTCCTTAATATTAAAGCTGCAGGTAGTTAGATTTAAAGGTTGGACTAAATTAGTAGACTTAAGATACAGAGCCAATCATTGACATGTTAGCACTTAGAATGAAAACTCACATTGGCCACTATTTTAATTATAATAGTTACTAGTGTGGATTTTACCAGTAACTGAATTTATACCTGATGCCAATGAGAATTGAGAAGTTGATATGAAAACTTTATCCATACAACATAGATCATTTGGATTTTACTAGCATACCAGAAGTATCCTTGAGTCTAGTTTTTCTAGTTGTTTTTTTTTTTTTTTTTTTTTTTAACAAACTCCATACCTACTCCTTACTACTAGAAAAATGAAAATTGAGGTAAAGCCAGTTGGCTTATGCTTAGTGGAATCTTGGTCAAAATTTAGGAAAGGAATTTTATTTTTTAATATTACTCAATCATTTTGCATTAATTTTCTTTTGGGATCAAGGATCTGGCTGACCCAGGTGGTATGTGACAGGGAGATGAAGTCCCTAAAATCCTTCCCCTGATTCTGTTGCTATCCATACATGCAAATTGACTTGAAAGAAACATGTTCCCCATAAACACAAGGCCTCACTATTTGTAGTTGGCAGCCACCCCAGGCAACTGAGTAAAGCAGTGAGATCCACTGATTGTCAAGCAGTTGACATCACTACCCTTTATAAGATAATCCATGAGATGAATTTCATCATTTGAAGAAATTTTCCCAAGGACAAGAAATTTTCATTTGCAGACTTAACAATCACATGGAACAGTTGGAAACCAGGTTTTGGAGACCAACTGCAGGCTCAAGGCCAAGCTTCCCTGATTGAATATTGTTGAAATAAATGCTAATCACTAATCCAGTATATTGCTATTGTTTTAGCAATATTTTTTTTCAATAAGCTGTAATTCATAAACCAGCCATAGTTAGGTAATACCACAGAATTAAGAAGTTAAGTTGATAAATGTAACCCCCAACAAATAAAAACTGTTATAAGAAAGAGCCAGTCATTTCTTCTGATAGTAGTTTTCTTCTTTAATTTTCTTTATTCCTGAGTGCATTTCAATCAGCTTTGCTTAAGAATTCCTCAGATCAAAAACTTAAACAGAACATAAATGAGGAAGATCAGCTGATAGAGTAAGATGCCCAGACAATGGCCCTATGTTAAGGATGCCAGAGAAGGGTTGTCACATTATATAATGCTCTACAAGTAAATTTGCAAACTCACCATTTCTCTTTATTCCTTTTTTTTCTATCTGCTATTTCTCACTGCATCTCCTCCTCCTTCTCTTCCTCTCATCATCCTCCAGTATGCTAAAGCATTAGCAAAGTTTGTGGAAAGTGAAAACATTCAAGATCTGAAAGTTTGGACAAGTGAAATGAAAAGGACAAAACAGACAGCAAAATTCATCAAAGCACCCACAGAACATTGGAAAGCTCTTAATGAAATAGATGCAGTAAGTAGATAACACATATTTGTATATTTCTGTACAGATGTATTACAAGCTATCACTTTGTCATGATGATTAAGCACTCTTACTTATTTTATACTTGATTTAGTATTTTTACTGGTTTGGCATGTAAAGTCAGTATTAAGTAAAATGCTCAGATTTCAGTTTCTCATATTGTATGTTTAAGATTGTATAATTTTCATACAATGGGAGGGGGCTAAATGTAATATTTGTGGCTAATTGATATTTAATAGATGAGCAGTCTTTCAAGACTGAAAATTTTATACCTGGATATTGACATGTTTTCATAATTACAGCACACAAGTTTATGATGTTTGCTTTACAAGAGCTACAGACACATCTGAATTGATGGTTACGAACATGTTTCAATCTGTTTCTAATTTACAATATTACACAAAATTTTTCTGTTTTCATTTTTTGTTTAGATAACAAGTGAAAAAGCTCTGAAAAGTTCTCAGCCTGACCTGATATTTTTGTTAGTACAGTAAGATAAAATAGTAATACTATTCAGGTTAGATTTTACATGCTCAAAAAAAATAACTGCTCATGGTTAGGCTAATCAATTAACCCATAGTTAAGGAATATCACATATTCAAGACAGTCCTCATACTCCTGACAAAATGTCAGGAGGTTTGATGAATGGCTTTCTTGTCTATTTATGACCAGTGACTAGCTAAAGTCAGAGTAGTTGATTCAGAGATATCCTATATTGTAAGTATCTTATGAAAGAGATGGAGAGTAACTGTGAGTTACAAGGTATAGATAATGTAAATTGGGACAGGGAGCAAGGAATTGGTTTACAGATCTTCAATGTGCTAAAAGTACAGTTGAACTGAAAATATTTAAGATTTGAAGTTGTGAATATTAAGATTTCTTAGAGATTTATTAATGAATGACTTGAAATAATCAATTTGTTAACTAGGGAGTTAAAAAAACAAATTTCTTAAAGTTCTGAAGGCAAATTTCTGCAAATATTAGAATTTCTAGGAGAGATCAAAGAATATAGCCAATTTGTCAAAGCCAGGTCCCAGTACTTATCAGTAGATATTTGGGAATGAGTGATTTGAGTTCATTTCTTTGTTCAGATTTTTCATATAATCACAACTTGTTGCTTATTTCACCAGTTGCAGCAATATTTGTTTGAAGGTGGTTAGCAATCAAAATTGTGAAATCTTCTTACCTATAAATCCAACTAAAAACATCTGGATATAAAAATCCATATTATTTTTTTGAAAGAAAACCAACCATATCCTTTCTTTGCTGTATAACTCAATTGTATAACTGAATAATACCATGAAGTAGTCAATTTATTGTTTGTGTTTCTATTTATCATATTCAGCAATGTCTTCAAAAAAGTGGGGGGAAAGAGAGAGACAGATAACCTCAACTTCTGTTCTCATCAACAGACCACTTGAGCAAAATTAATGTATGTAGTGAAGGAGGTGCAAGAAGTCCAATAACTCATTCTTATTGAGCAGTTAATGACCACACCTGTTCACTTGAGGTGTGGTCATCACAAGGAAAACAATGGTCAGTTAAGTTGCAAGAAGGCTAGGGAAAGTGTCACAGCAGTATTCCTCCTCCTCAAAAATGTTAGGTAAATTGCACTTAGATATACATTATCTAAAGGGAGATCACTTAGTTCCTTTTCTTGTAAGAGTTAACATCAAGCATGGCCAAATTGCAAAGTCCATTTTTAGTGTCAGCTTGTAATAATTTTGTCTAATATGGTATCAAAATGATTCCCTAACATGTAATTTTCTTTTTTTAAACATTGAATTGTGTAGTTCAAGTTTGTTTTCACGTGTATGTTTACCTATATTGTTAATTTTTAAGTTACTTATTCATAAAAGCCTTTATACTAAATAAAAACAACTTTAGCTCTATTCTTAAAATTTTTATCTCTTGCACTTAATTTTATCAGATTTATTCTGGGTAAGAAGCTGAAAAATAATTTGTCAGAGAAAAGATAATTTTGAAATGTTGGTTTTCAGTCATTTGAATAAGCAGCATAAGAAATGCTTTTGCGACTGTAAAGAAATTTGAGTTTTACTTTTTGCATTCTTTGTTTGAATAAGATATTTTAAATTTTCTTTATTTCTTTGGGGTTAAGAATATTTTGCATTAAGTTTAACTTTTTCACAGGGTATCTGTGAATCAATGACATATGAAGAGATTCATGAAAAACATCCAGATGAATTTGCTTTGAGAGATCAGGACAAGTTTCATTACAGATATCCAGGTGGAGAGGTACGTTAACTTCCAGCATGTGCACAACTCCCCATTTTTTCCTTTTGTTATTGTTGTTAATAATTCATGCTCATATTCATTGATAATATGAATATGAGCATATCTTTGTCTAGTTTACTGGTTCTTGATTTAATTAAAAATATACCTGTCATAATGTAAGCAGGAGAGATATGTTTTTTATAAACCTTTCAGTTTAACAGCTCAGATTATTTGTAAATATCCTGAAAGAATTTAATTATCTAATGAACATAATACAGTTATTGGATTTAGCATGAAGATTTCAGTATAAGACCATGTATAGACTATGACTAATTGAAAGAATAATTTGTAATAAACATTTTACAGGTTGACTGTGAAGAGAAAATTTTCTAACCATTATATTAATTATTCATTTGAATTTTGTATAGTAGTTGAAGGGAAGTGCGTTGTGGTGTAATGTATATTGTCTCAAAATGAGAAATCGAAGAGCTGAGTTCAAATTCCCATCAGTTTTATTACATTCACAAAAATCTGTCTAGTTAGTCATGAATTGAAAGACACATGATCACCAAAACATGTAGCATGTGTCATGTATAACACTTAACTGATTGATAGTAACTGAAAATATTTGCCACTTAATTATATCAATGAAAATCAAATAATACAAATATAAAACTGACCTGACAAACAAATGTCCAGTTGTGTTTATTTTATCAGATTGTCCAACAGAAAATTGTCAGTTTAAACAAAATAAATTGAAAAAATTAATAGAAAATTGTATTTATTAAATAAAAATAATTTCCTCAATATTTATTCCACTTTGGTCATCATATCACTTAAAAAGAAAGCCTCAGTCAATAAATTCATTGACAGTTTCAATTCAATCCCAATCTTCTCTGTTAAATCGTATAAATGTTTGAGGAAATGATAATCTGTGAGGTAAATAATCGAGATGCAATAGAGTTCACATTTTCAACTAATTCTTCATTTTTATAATGTTTTTGTTCTTCACCAAATTGGGTGTAGTTTGTTTTGAATGCATTATTTCAAACTACTTTAGATATGTATTGAAGGAAAATTTGTATCAAACTGCTTCAAATGTTCTTTATAAACCTCCAGCAATGATGGCATGATTTTGGTTTATATTCAGGTTACCTTCTCTATGAAGTGATTGTACAAATCTATAGTTATCATTTTATTCAGAATCTCTCCACTTTGTTTTTCTCATCACAAGTACTATTAAAATTAGGAGGACTTATGATTTAAATTTTCCATGATTCCATTTTCACTTTTAATGAATACTGTTTATTTCATTTTTACTGTATTTCATAGGAAAATTGAAATAAAATTATGATTATTAAAATGGGAAAAAATCAAAATTCAGTTTTTATGACAAGTAAAGAAATAGATATCGTCAATAAAAATTAAAGCAAATGAAAATAAAATCCTCTCAAGAAAGAAATTACATGTAAAAGTAACAAAAAAAATCTAAAATGACAAGATGGTAAAACAATGGAATGTTCCAGTGTAAGTAGAATTTTAATCAAATATTTTTTTCTTTAAGAGCAAATAATTTCAGCAATCCAATCTGGAAGAGGAGTTTTGAAATAACTCTATCCCTCTGTTTTCTAATTCAGGGATAGGACATTCTGCTTCTAGGCAAAATGTTGTTTTTGATGTACCAATTTTACATCTTCTATTATTGTACAACACATGTAGGTGGTGATTTAGCTTTGCTGAGCTCAGAGGAGACTGTTATTAAATGGGTGCAGTTCTCTTTAATGAAATGCAAATTGAGGCACCAACTATGATAGGATGAAAAGCGTAGTCAAGCATCATCTACACTGCATGCCAAATTATTATCGAGATAACTTTTTTTCTAATATTTCAAAAATCGTCCAATCAATTTGCACAAAATTTTCATACAATGTTGGCAACACTGACCTGCGCAATCACTGAAATTTTCGTACTGATCTGCACAATGTAAACAAACTGGCGCCATATTTGTTATCAGCACAGTGATTTGAGCGTGCCAAATTATTATAGGCTGCTGAATCTGATACTAATGCAATGTATTAGAATTGAGATACATGATTCACCTACAGTTTGATGATTGCATTTTGTCACAGTTACAACATCAATAAGAAATGACTTCCCATAGATATTTGTAGTAACATTCAAAATTCTGTTGTCATGGCAGTTGGTTGTTTCGTCTGCTCTTCACTATCAGGACAACAAAATGACACAAACAATATCATCCCACATCTGTAGACTTTACTAAAGTTGTAATTGTTTTCTGTTTTAGTGTAAATGACTTTTTGGAAGCTTTTTTTGCCAAATGGTTTTTGATTTTGCATGATCTTTCATTATGTCAACCATAAGAATGTCAGCACATGATCGGCATAAAATCATTTGAAAATTTTCTAACCTGGCTTTAGCACAAATTTTTAAATACTGGAGTCCTTCATCGTCATTGAGGGGAACAGGTCCCACTTTTAAAGTTGAGATTGAAGGTGATTCACTATAATTCACTTGATTCATCCATCTTAGTAATGTGTTAAAAAGAATTATAATCTTTAAAATATGTAAAAGTACATTTTGAGAAATAATAAGTCAGTGTTTTATTAAAGGATTTTTTCCTTTTATAATAAATCTATGTGTGGCAGTGTACAAGATATTAAGTGGCTTTGTAGGTGATGAGCCAACATAGTTTATTGCTAAATTGGACTTGGGAAAATCATGTAATAGATGTTGGCGTAGAAAGTAGAAGTAGTAGAGATTAAAATGAAAACGATTCAAAGTTACAAATAATAAAACAAGGTTTCAAAGTGCTTAGAATGTTGTAAAGTTTGTGGAAGTCAAATATCTGTTGAGGAAATTAATGTAAACTAATGAAAGTCCTTGTGAATAAGGTCTTTTATAAAGTGATTTTATGAAAAAAAAATTAAATATTATTACCTGATTTATCTATTCCCCTGTGTCCACATTAGCAATATACTACCCAGGGTCTTTGAAAATTGCAAAAATTCTAAATGAATGTTAAAGTTTTCATAAAATGGCAGAGACAGATTTAAGTTTTGAAAGAAGAATTTAAAAGAATAACAAGTGAATAATTTAGTTATTATTGAAAATGACATGAAAATAAGATTTCATTTCTGATTTGCAATTTTATGATTTCATGATTGTGAAAAATTGGTCTCCCATTAATCAAGGTTTTGCATGGTATACAATGCAAAACTTTGATGCATGTTATCATATGTTAGTATTTTTTACTCTCTTTACTCAAATGGGACCTGTGACCTTAAATGATTTTACATGCTTTTCATCAATGCATTAAAGTTTTCTAATAGTTATCAGCCAATATATTTTAATGAATCATTAGTGTTTTAGCTAGCATTTTCTGAAATTTCCACTTTCAATTTTCACTTTCAAATTTTTTTAAACAAGAGAATATTTCTCTTATTAGTTCAAATGCAGAATTTATATTCTTTATAATTTCCCCCTTTCTACTTTGGTTTCAACTTTGATAAATGTATAAAAATGAGGAGTTAAAAGGCTCTCCATATTTGACTTTTAAAAAAAGAAATAAAAATTAAATTGATCTTTTACTGAATCTAAAAAAGATGTGTATGTAATTTGAAATTAAAATTAGCAATTTCATAGTGACCTGATATATTTGCAAGCTTTTGTGTTCTCTGTAATAAAGAGATAAAAAGTTGCAACCCTTGTAACATTCTTTACAAGTGGACTTAATAATAATAAAAAAGTAATGTATAGCTTTTAGAAAATGAACTAATTTATAAGAAAATTATGCAAAGATTAACAAAACTAGCTAAATTTCTTGTTTGATCGCTGATCATAAATTCTAGTAAAGAAATCTAATAATTTGTAAATCTGAAAAGTTAAAAGTATGCAACTGAATGAAATAACATTTTTCAAAGTTCCAATATAACCTGTCACTTTTTAAACAATTGAGTTATATTTTTCCTTTAGTAATATGTAATTGTCTTGTCTCCTAGTCTTATCAAGATTTGGTTGGACGTCTTGAACCAGTTATTATGGTAAGTTAACATCCTTTGCTTTCTGTGCTGCTTCAACTAGTTTTGATTATTCTTCTTCAATGTAATTTCATATCTCAATAAATAAAGTTATAGATTATTTGAAAAATAATCAATTTGATGTGACAAAAATCCTTATGTGTCAATTGTCTAGTTAAATGTAATTCAGAAAAAAATTAAAAAATTATGAATCGTTTTTATAAATCCACTTTGATAAACAATTATAATTTTTAAAAAAAAAAAATATAGTACTTTTCAAATATCCAAAAATGCCAGAAAAAAATTGAATTTAATCAGATGTAATATTTCCAAAAAAATGATTTATTGATATGTATTAGAAATGATTCAAAAATATGTTGAACTTTTTAAATGGATTTCGAATAATAAAATCCAACATTGTTCAAATTATAAATCATTTGTTTGTGGTCATTGATTAAAAAAAAAAATATAAAAAAAATAATACGACCAATAAATAATAAGACGTTTGAATATTTGTTTCTCGGTCCATTATAGCAAATATTTTGCAAATAAAATTAATTCAGTGGAAAAAGAATCACAATTTTTTTAATTGCTTTTAAATATGTTGATGGAAACATGATAAAATAAAAAAAAAACAAAAAAAAAAAAAAAAAGGAAAAGGTTCAAGTACAAAAAAGAAAATTCATTTGATTTAATCCAGTTTTCAGAGAGCTGGCTTATAAACTTACATAATTTCTTAAAAAAAAAAAAAAATTTTGGATTAAACTACTGTTGATTTATGAATCATCAGGCTTTTAATAAAATTTTTGCTCTGGAATTAGAGCGTCAGAAAAATGTCATGATTTCAAAAACATAAGTAAACAATTTAAAATGGTTAATTTTTTAATTTATAAATAAAAAATTCTAATGAATTGAACTAATTAATATATCAAATATTTACATTATTTTAGATTATCATTATTTTTTAATTTGTTTAGATAATTTTTCATAATTTTAAATTAATTTAATAATGGGAAATTTTTTTATAAAAAATTTTTTCTGCAAAAATTTTTTCAATTTTGTCCATTGTTAGAAAAAAAATATTTAATTCTGTCGCAATATTGAAATTTATCCCTTCTTCATAAAATTTATTTGAATTCATAATTTGTTGAAAATGGCTTATCTCAAATAAGATGATAATATTAGGGCGATTTAAAATTCAATTAAACAAAGATTGAAAAATAAATCCACAGTTTTTTTTTAACTGTCAATATAAATAGAATTTTCAATATTAAACATATAAATTCATTATAAATAAAATCATTCATGTTTTCTACAAGGTGTGGTTTGTCGGGGGCTGCAATTGATAAACTTTTCAACTATGGAATCCTCTTTTCTCAATTAATAAAACCGTTATATCTTCATCAAGCAAATAGTATTAATATAGATAATTTAAATAAGGATTTTATCCTAATTATGGCAAATACCATCTTGCAACACATTTATTGAGATGAAAATTTTTGAAATATTTTTTGTCACTTAAAAGTGGTCCAAAATTCTTCGAACTTCATTCAATTGTTTGATGTCCCATATATGTTTTTCTAATTTTAGATGTATGGATTCCAGTTTTTTTTATTAGTAAAGATTTCAAGTTTTTAAAAAGATTGTTCCAAAAAAATAAACAAATTTCTCTATTGACTTATTTTGTTGCTATTCAATTTAAATTCGTTTTGAAAATTTTCCTGTTATAAGAATAATAAAAACAGGTATTCAAATTAAAAATTCTTTATTTTCGCAAAAAAAGGCAAATGATTTTTGCCTAACATTAGTTTTAAAAACATTTCTCATGATTAAGGTTTACTTATTGTGCATGAGAGTCTTGCTACAGTGATAAATTTACTCTCTTGGTCTTTTATTTTTAAACATGTAAATTAAATAACTTATAAAAATTTAACCTGAAGTAATCTATTAATTATTGAAAATTTCATTCAATTAAAATCTATTTAATAAAATCCAAAACAAATGAGAAAATTGGAATAATGAATGTTTTTCATTTAAAAAAAAAAAAAAACTGACAAAAAAATTATTTAAATGGAAAAAATTATGAAAGAAATTTAAAGCAAAAGTAATATAAAACATTTCCTATTAACAGTCCATAGTTTGTCAATATGAAATTTTTAATGAGTTTTTTAAAATATAGCCATTTAACCTTTTATTATTTTCCTAATTTTATGTTTTAATATTTAAATTGTTTCAAATTTTTTATTTAAATCAGAGTCCCCGATTTTTTTAAAATGACCAAATTAAATTATTGCTAGTTTATTCTTTCAAAAAAAAATTTTAAAAATTTTTAAAAGGAATTTTTCTTTTTTTCAGGCATACATAAGCTTTTTGAAATTAATGTTTTTTATTCAAAAAAATCTTTTTCTCGATAGGACTAATTAATATTTATAAAGGTTGAATTAGTTAAAAAATTTAATTTAAAACAACATTTTTTTTTAAACTAAATTTTCATTCTAGCCTGGAACTAACTTGCGGGCGGTTCTTTTTAAATCATTCATTTAAAGTTGAATTGATTTTCCATAATATTTTTTTTTTAGATTTTAACAGCCATATATATATTCAATCAAAATTTTCTATCATTGTTTCATGAAAAGCTTTGATCCGATCACAAGTAATGGTCACATATGTCTTTGTTTCTTTGATTTTAACACTCACCGATTAAAAATTTTTTTAATTAAGTAAAATGCATTCAATACAAATTTGATTCGCCACAGAATTTGAGTCTTAAAACATGTGTTATATTTAATTTTGTCATGACACCCTGCTGAAATTGTTTGCAAATTTTTGATTTTTCGCTTAAAACCATCACGTACTTAAAAAATTTAGGGTCGAAATTTAGAATTTCATCCTCCGAACCATGAAAGGGCGATGGTTTAAAGTATTTAAATTAGTTCATTGTTTTTAAATAACAGCATTTATGTTGAAATGTGTCTTATTTTTTCCAATCAATGGCAATATTAAAAGTTTTTTTTCAAATCTTTTTGATGACTGTATCTTAGAAAACAAGGATGACTAAAAGCCAAATTTTTTAAATTTTTTTTATAGATTTCAACATTTTTAACCAGACATTCAATGAAAATGGTATCAGGAAGTGATAAATACACCATTTATGAATGGGTTTTAAAAAAAGGAGAATGCGTTCAGTGTGTTTTGATATAAATATTTTGGAAATTGTTCAATTCCCCCCCAATTTAAAAATAAACAGTCACTGACATCGACACTATTTGAAGTGATTTTTGTTTTGTGACAGAAAAAGTATCCATGAATCTTTGATAAACGAAAAAAATTACAACGATTTTTTGTATCTATTTTCATTTATATTTGAAAATTTGTGATTTATTTAATATCGCGTTTAAAATTTTTATAAAATGTTGTCTGCTGAATCAATGAATTACTGTCATTGAAAATTTCCATAATTTTATAATTTCAATTTCACAAATATTAATTTAAACGCAGACAATAATGTAATTTTTTCAAAACAGTTTTTATTTTTATAAATGAAACTTTTTTCAAAAAAAATTATCCAATTTAAAAAATTTTTTATTATTCAGAATGAAATTAAATTAAAACCTTTTTTTTTTAAATTTTATGATTTTAAATGCAGTGACCTTCTTAACTTTTATATTAAGTGATTTTTTTTTTAGAATGATATTATATTTTCAATTCATTTACTATCGATCATTGAATTGAATCTTTCCTGAAATTTTCCTAAGAGTTTTTTTTTTGGTGGTATTTCGTTTGATATTTATAAGGGTTTATATGTTAATTATTTAATATAAAATATGATATTGAGTAGTCCCTATAAAAAAATAATCCATGGATTGATTTTAAAACTAAAAATCTATTTAGGTTAATTGTTAACAAAAAAGAATTCATGTTCAGATGCATTTGTTATATATAGCCAACATTGTTCTTCAATATATGTCCTTTTGTATTATTTTTATACTAAAAAAAGATTCAATTTTTTACACAGTCGTTCTGATTACTGACAAAAAAGGTTATAATATTTCTTCCCACCTTGATTTTAAATTTGAGGAAGTTAATTCATATCTAGGTTACCACCACTGATTTGCTAAAAAATTAGCATAACATGATGAAAAATGTGAATAACTTAACAGAAAAAAAAAATTTTATCGTCAAAAAGATTTTTAAGAAAAAAATCAAATGGTTTTGATTATTTAAAATATAAATTTTTTAAACAATTTTAGAATTCAAAAATTTTTTGTTTTTTTGTTTTTCTTGCATCAGCAGATTTATTAAAAATTAGTATAAAAATTTTAGCGTCTTTTTTTTTGTGAAAAACATTGATTTGGAAAAAATCTTGCAAAAATCAAATAATTGTCAAATTTTAATGAAACTTTCAGGAATTATTTTGAAATGAATTTTTTATTTTAGAAATTTTTTTTTTTAAATCTTTTTTTAAATATTTTTTTATTAATTTTAAAATTTAATAAAATTAAAAATTTAATTTTCGTTTTATGACTATATTAGTTAAAAGCAGAAATCTTTGGAGAATTTAAATCATCAATTTTTTTTTTTGTAAAACAGAAACCATTTACCAAAAATCTGCTCTGAATCATAAAATAAAAAATGCAATAAAACTAAAATATTATTTAATTAGAAAAGTTTTTAATTGCTTTTATACATAAAATATATTAAAAACAATATTGTTTAAGAAAAAAAAAAATTTTTTTTTTGAATAATGAATTTTTTTTACAAGAATTGTTTTTTTTTTTTAAATTTTAATTAGAATAATTTTAAAGTTTTAAATTTTTTAAAATTATAGTTTTAATTTTGTAAATAAGTTTTTTATTATTATTAAAAAAAAAAATATTTACTAATCATAAATGGAAAAAATTTAATACAATTCAAACACCAATATTTTTTAAAAGAATTTTTTTAATTTTTTTTGTTTTATATAAACATGCCAATTTTTTGTAAATATAACACCCACACACAACATTATCAGAAAATAAAAGTGATAACTATAG